TTCCTGCTGCTTTTAGACGTACTTCTTTTACAACAGAAGAGTTTTCTATTCATTTTAAAAGCTCTGGGTTGTATTTGGTGGATGATGTCTCCTCTTACACAAATCCTGAGGAACTATTAAGCTTATTAACAACTACTTGCCAGGACATATTGGATTTCATCGCTCCTCTTTGATGCAGACCAGCCAAGTTGCAAGCAGTGCCTTGGCTAAACGATTATTCGGGCACTCAGACAAAGATGTTGCAAGCTGAACATAAATGGAAGAAGGATAAACTTCACGTTTCTCTCTGCCAATTCTGGGGTTGTCTCTCTGACTATCAGAAGGCTGTAAAATCTGCCAAATCAAACTGTCCAACATTGTGGTCAATAATCATCATAAACCTCAGGTCTTGTTCAGTACAATTAATTCTGTTATCAACCCGTGTAACCTTGCTTCTCATCCCGAGGCACCATTAGCAGTATGAGAAGGTTTTCTTCAATATTTTACTGATAAAATTACTAGCATTAGGCAGTCCTCCAGTTCTACAAATCCTGACCCAGATGATATTCCTCTGCATTCTGCTGTCTTTGATCAGGCTGAGCCTGTATCTTGGCCTATGCTATCTGAACTGGGTCACCACATGAAAGCATCTCACTGTTCTTTGGATTGTTTGCCAACTAGATTGTTTAAGGATGTTTTTGACTGTTGGGCCCAGCTTTCTGGCTCTAATTAATGTTTGTCTAAGTACACGTTCAGTGCCAGAGGCTTTCAAAAAAACAATTGTCCAGCCTCTTCTCAAAAAGCCTAATCTTGATCCTTCAGTGTTTTCTAATTTTAGACCAGTTTCTAAATTACCTTTTATGTCTAACGTTCTGGAGAAAATTGTTTTTATCCAACTCCAGTCTTTTTTGACAGATAATGGCATTGATGAGCAATTTCAAACTGGTTTTAAATCAAAACATAGTACTGAGTCTGCATTATTAAAAATCAGTAATGATATCCTGTTGGCTAGGGATGCTGGGGATTCGGTTTTATTGGTGCTTTTAGATCTCACTGCTGCCTTTGATACAGTGGATCATGGAATCCTCTTATCTCACTTGGAGCAGTGTGTAGGAATTCAAGGTACTGTTCTTAACTGGCTCAGATCTTATCTCACCAATAGAAATTTTACTGTTAATATTGGTACCTGTTCACCCTCTTCAACAATCCTTTCCTGTGGTGTCGCCCAGGGATCTGTACTTGGTCCCATTTTGTTCTCACTGTATATGCTTCCATTGGGATCTATCTTAAGGAAATATGGCCTTCTTTTCACTGTTAGGCAGATGACATTCAAATATACTTACCATTTAAGGCAACAAGAGGGATGTCATTACAGCCATTGTTTGTCTGTTTGAAAGACGTAAAATCGTGGCTGGCACTTAACTTTTCAAATCTTATTGAAAATAAAACTGAATGTGTGCTTTTTGGAGACTTGGTGAACTTAGCTTCTTCTGAACAGGGCCCCCTGGCTCGTCATCTGAAGTCTAAAAAACCTAGGGGTGATGTTTGATGGCAAGTTAAGGTTTGACAAGCAAATCAACTCAGTTGTGAAATCTAGCTTCTTCCACCTCAGGTTGTTAAGTCAAGTCATTCGTTTCTTTTAATGATTTCGAGATTGCAATCCATGCTTTTATCACCTCCCACCTTGACTAATGCAATGCTCTATAACCAGTTAACCAGTTCTCCCTCTCATCTTCATATGGTTCAAAATGCTGCTGCTCGTCTTCTGACAAGTACCAGAGAATTTGAACATATAACCCCGGTTCTGGCTTCTCTCCACTGGGTTCCAGTCTATTTCAGAATTGATTTTAAATTGTTGATTTTTTGTTTTTAAGGCTCTTTATGGTTTGGAATCTGACCTCACGGAATTGGTGCATTGGCACAAACCTACAAGGTCCCTCAGATCCTTAAGCCAGTTTCTTTTAGGGGTTCCTATTGCCAGATAAAACCATTGGGATGACCATGCTTTTACTGTTGCAGCCCCTAAATTGTGGAATAGTCTACCTTTTAATGCTAGATCAGCTACTGACCTGACTGCTTTTAAATCCTTGCGTAAAACATATTTATTTGCCTTGGCTTTTAATGCACAGTAGGGCCTGATGCATTCCTTTTAATGTAATTTAATAAATGTGTGTCACTTCTGTGTCTGAGTTATTGTTTTATTTTTGCATTGAATCTATTTTATTTTAGTTATTTATCGTGATTTTATTCTATGTAAAGTACTTTGGTTAACTGGATGTTGTTTTTAAAGTGCTATATAAATAAATTTGATTTGATATCCGAACCATTTGACCAGTGTAGTGGCTAAAAATAAACAAGGTAACAGTATGTACTTCATATAGATATTATTTGTACTAGTTGTGTAAGGGAGAGCTGAGTGGTTATGGGTTCATTAAGTTCATGTGAGCTGAACAATGAGCTTATGTAAGCTGGTCAAGATGTGTCCTGTTTTTGAAGTACATCTCAGGGTGTTGTCTCCCGAAACTGGAGACAGGAAGCTAAGTTCAGAAATTGACGTAACAGCCTAAGGAAAGCTGCTGATAAAAAGAGTGAGCCTCAAGGGTTAGGAGAAGAAGGAGAGAGAATGCTACTGGGACAGTAAACCGTGTACTTTTTGGGGACCCAGCCGGCTGGGGGAACGCTGAATTAAGACTGACAACTGACTGTGGGTTGACAAAGACTGACTGACTGACTGACTCTGTGACAATTCTCATTTAATACTGTATCTATTCCATTGCAGGAGGAGTGAATCTGTTCTCTGTTCCCTAACTACAAGATTATGTGTTCAAATACTACTCTATTCAGAATAATTGTAATATTAAATGATCCTTTAAATTGGGATGGTCTGTCTGAATTAATTTAGCCGGCATCACACTCTAGCCACAACACCAGGTAGTATTTCACCCCTTTCCTCTTTTTTTTTGTTTGTTTTAATATTTTCACCACACAGTAAACTCTGGGATTATTTTAAGTGTCTGAAGCTTTGGTTTGTAAAATGTTGCTTTTATTTCTTCACTGTTGTAATCTTGTAATTTATACATTTGTGGGTCTCTGCAGATGCATTCTGAAATGGTAAACACTTCTTTGCTGAAATTCTGGTCATATCCCTTTTCAAATCACCACTAGCATCATCAGCTCCACAGAAAGCCTTTCGGATTACCTTCTACACCCACTTTGAGAACTCCAGCCACAGCACAGAAAGAGGAGGCCTGGACCACCCGATCCCCCTCCCCTCCACTAACTGTCTCATCGGGCCAGGTATGCAAAGCCCTGAGGAAGATTGACTTTCTGACTGGCAGGCCCCAGACTATCAGAATTGGCAATAGGACTTCAGCCAGCATCACTACAAATATTGGCACTCCACAGCGATGCGTCCTCAGTCCCATCTTCTACACCCTGTTCACCCATGACTGTGTTGCCTCCCACAAGGATAACATCATCCTAAAGTCCATGGACTGTAGTGACAGGAGGGAGGTGGCCGGTCTGGTGTCATGGTGCGAGTACAATAATCACCCTGAACATGGACAAGATGAAGGAGATGATAGTGGACACAAGGAAGGCAAGGAGATCTCATCAGCCACTGTTCATCCAGAAGTCTGAAGCGGAGAGGGTGAGCAGTTTTAAATACCTGGGCATCCACACCAGTGAGGACTTAACCTGGACACTCAACACCACACAGCTGGTCAAGAAGGCCCAACAGTGGCTGTACTTCCTGAGAATACTGAGGAGGTTTGACATGTTACATAGGATACTCAGCAACTTCTACGGCTGAGGATGGGCTGCCTGTATGGCAGCACAACTGCTCCCATATGGACCACAAGCACCTGCAGAGAGTGGTAAAGACTGCAGAGAAGATCACCAGGACTCCACTGCCTTCTCTGCAGAGTATTTACCACCGCAGAGCCTGCAGGAGAGCTGCCTCCATTCTCAAAGACCCCATCCACCCCCAGCATGGACTGCTCACCTCCCTACACTCAAAAGTGTGAAATGCAGGATCTCTAGACTGAAAACTCTTTCTTTCCAACTGCCATCAGACTCCTAAACAGCTGACAGGAGTTTATTATCAGGAATTACTTAATGTAATCCCACCTGTACTGTTTACATGTTCAGTTTGCACATGCATAATTGCACATTCACTGCTGACTATTGCAAACAGCTCCAATGTAGCATACATTCTCTTTAT